TTACAGACACCACATATACAGCTTCTCAAGCCTCATTTTTAGACATTTACCCCGTATTTGATTACAGCGGCCATCTCACTATCAGAGTCTAAGACAATCGAGATAATTTCAATTTTGAAATTATACCTTTTCCTCAGCTTAGCAGCAATTTGCCAACTTCATCCGCGTATGGAGTATACATTTCTTAACTCATACGATTTTCAGGAGCTTGCAGTTACTACTCAGAGATTGTTAAACGTCATCAGTGTCTGAGCAAAAAATTAATGAGCCAGGGTTTTGTAAAAGAACGTCTCGTCCTGTTTCTCATAAAGTTCATTGGAAAGTACCAAGACCTAATACTCATAGATAAATACTCAGTTTCTACGTAACAAATTATACAGGATGGTCTTGAGTTATAGATTCTAGGTGCTGACTTTGTGTAGCATTTGATCTAATTTGCAGTTTTACCTATAATTGCCTTTGTACTATTATGTTCTATTTGATCGTATGACTTTTGACTTGGTTCGGTATATGTGCATCCAGCTTTCACGTTTTTGGCGTTCGGCATTTCTTTTGCGGGTGGGTACAGAGATATGATTCGGACACATGATGTTTTATAGGGCTGTTTTCATTTTGTATACCTTTCATTTTTGCTTATGTGCTTTGTCTATATGCCTTTTTGTGTTTCTTTATTACATATTTGTTTGTTTTTATAGTGATTAAGATTATAACACAATGTTGACTGTTGTACCCCTATTTTGACATTTTTACTTAATACGTCTGTTTGTTTTGTTCACACATCGGTGTCAATATAATGGAATTTTATGCGACTGTCATACAAGTGAGAGGTTTTGTCGCTATAGAACCATATATACTACATAAAAAAATGCCTGTACCAAGTCAGGAATGTGACAGTTGTTATCCATTCGTTTGATGTGTTAGAGCTTTTGATTTTGTCATTCGATTAGGGACTTTCCGTTTTGAATTTTCCTCGGAGTTCGGTATTTTTGTGATTTTACTTGTATTAATATTTCACTTATTTTGTATTTTATCGGGAAAGTGGATTTGTCGTTATGTAAGGAGCCCTTCATGTGCCATGTAAATATCAAACTAAACAAAATAGCTCTAAGAACTATTTTAAACGGTAATATTTCTTATCTAGAAAAGTAATTAATGCATCAAAAATTTTAAAACATCATGTTCGTTTACATCTTTATTTCTTTGAAATTTCGATGTTGTAGTTTTGTAAAAACGGTGTACTTCTCGGATACTGATCTTAAGTTTGAACCATTTTTGACGGACAGTTATTTTTTTCCATATGTGTCATTATAATCATTGATAAATGATTAAATTAGATTATTTTCTGACGTTGCATGTGTCTTCTCGATAAGATTTCCTTCGCGATCCTATACCAGATCTTTCATGATCCAATCGCAATACTTGACCACCGTTTCTTATTCTTTCACGGTCAATTTTAGTCGATATGACAAATGACAGCCTTGAATAACTGGGAGTAGTTTATAACATTTTCATTTCGATTAAAACAAAATAAGCAAATTAAGTAATTTAAAGGTATTGGTATCATACTGTTACACCAAAATTCTTTAACTATAAGTAAATGATTGATAGAAATACATTACTTGTATTGTATAGACCGTAAAATTAATGTTCAGTGTCAAGTATTATACATCGATGACTACTTAGATGATCAACTGATTCAACAGAAAATTAAAGTTTGATTAAGTTCAAATGCAGTTCATTACGCTACAATTATAACCATTATTTATATTTTTGAGCATTTATGTCGATGAAAAGACACAAGTGACATGGATATGCATTGATTTGATTTAGACATCGTTGTGGATCCGAGCCAAGTTGACATATGTTCAAACTTTACTCATAAATAATGCATGCGTGTGAAAAAGAATAAGTATCGATCTCGAATGAGTGTGTTTGGTTGTTGAACAAACAAGAGAAAGCTTCCGAGACTGCCAATGATTATGGTTAGATTGAATAATAAGTACATCAGTCATAATTATATAACCAAAATATGATATCTTGTAATATTGTTCGCTGAACGGTCAACGATCAGAGCTAAGTATATGTACTTCAGAATACAATTTATAAATAGAAATAGATAAACCTGTTTTAATTTATGTACATGGGAAATCATGAATCGTGTGTCGTGTTCTACCTATAATCCTTTAATCTATTAAATTTACGTAAATTGTTATTAATATCATTACTATTTTGCATCTACGTAACTCTATATGTGTGTTTCAGCCACTTTATTTAGAAAAAATTGCATGTATTTAAAGTTTATTTTAATCAAATTTCCTTATACAATTTGCTACTTGTCTACAAAAAAAATCGATTTTTGTTTAATTTTTACCATCGAAAGTTCTTGTTAGATATGTCTTATATGATCTCTCAAGTAAATATAAAAAATGAATCCAAAGTTTTGGTTGTAAATAGAAAACTTATTTCATTGCATGGTAGTAGAAACTTGTATTTTATCATTAGTCTTAAAGGAACACTCAAAAAGTGATTTCCCTTTTAAATATTCTATGTTAAATGTAACTTGTTTGACATCTTTTGCATATTCCTGCAAAGTGTCATATCCACAGTCGGTTTGACAAGCTATTGTCGCAGGCGTGCCAATTAGAGCTAAAGAATTCCATGCAGTGGCAATTTTCCATCCTAACAGCACCATATGAAGGTGTTTTGTATTTGACTTTAAATAAACCATCCGTGCAAAATTTACTTAAAGTCAGTATACCCGTTCTAGAAGTACATATTTGTTATCACACACACACCACCTGTACACACGCACAATTTGTCTTTCATATAATCACAAGCAATGATATTAGAAAATGATAAACATGTTCGGTGTTACACTTGATATTATATAATTAACCAAGACGTGTCCCTGGTTATCATCACACAACGAATTTTAATTCTACCTGTTTAAATCGATTGTCAGTGTTTTGACAAAGTAAACGCATTGAAAGTCTACTTTGTCAACCTTAGCGTCGTAATACGTTTCATATTAGACCAATGACAATCCCATCTAGCTAGAGCAACCGATTCATAGGGATTTAAATCTGACAAACTTCAAAGAAACATAAGTATGTAGCGGATAAATGAGGAAACATGTGTCCAAAACCCGATGCCCTAAACAACCTATATTAGAGAGGCGTAGGATACCGAATGGTCATTCAAACTCACAAGTCGAAAATACCCTAACAACGCCATGGCTAAAAAGAAAAAGACAAACAAACAATAGTACACAAAACACAACATAGAAAACCAAAGACTGAACAACACGAAAACCACCAAAAAACTGTGGGTGATCTCAAGTGCTCCAGAAGGGTAGGCAGATCCTGCTCAACATGTGGCACCCGAGAGTCGAAAGATACTAAGAAGTCTAATTTGGATAGTATTTAGAGTCAAACAGATAACAATTTTTATTCCGGTGAATTTAAGGTTATGAGAATTTTCAATTGTAAACATAGCAGCCATGTTGATTGTCTGAAAATCTTCTGCAACTGTATTTGACCCTCAGGTGTACACAACAGGGAAATGCATCTGGTGTGTAGGCGTGACACTTGAAGTGAGACGTATACAAGTTTCTATTTTATATTTTTTACTTTATTTTGCTCTCGTTTGGCCTGCTTGCTATAAGTTATTACCTGCTTACTTATATAATAAATATATTGATGTGCATTGTAGTTGTTTCAATATTTGTATTGTTTCTGTCCTTTACTGTGAAATTGTTGGGCAATTTAAATTTATGACAGCAAATGCTAGATGTCTTTGGCAAAAAGTTTATTCCAATGCAATTTCTAAGTAGTTTTGGCCTAAAGTTACCGTCAAAACTACAATTGACATGCCTTTACTTATGAGTGAGCCGCCATATTTAATTGTTTGATGTTCAAATACAATCGAAAATAAAACAAAAACCAACCCAATAACACCGTTTTGATGTGATATCATCTAAATTTGAATCGAAGAAACGAAGAAATATCCTGAACCTTGTCGTGACCGAGCAAAAAATTATTGATAACGTTTCGCGCAATTTTATTTCGCTTGTATTCTACATGTTCCAAATTTATACATTTTTAGGTATAGAATTAGAATAACTATAACTGAAGAGTTCCCGTTGTCACTTGTGATTCAACTGCCGTAACTCTTCAACTACAGTTACTATTATTCCTTAAATATCACACCTCTGTGTTCGTCAATGCACAAATATACACATGAAACTAAATGAGAATTCAGGCCAAAGCTGCGCCCAGGGACCGTTTAAAATTGTGGTGAAATGCAGTGCGTTTTTGCTACACGATGAAGGTTTCACTGTTATTCTGCTTTTGCGTCCGATTCACGTCTTAGTAGTTTTGCCTTTGAATTGAAATGACTATGTAATATTCTAAGCTTGGCCTCATACGTAACAGCCAATTTTCGTTACTAAAACCTATGGTTTAACTTTAATCACGATGTATCCCCTAGAGACTTAGCTAAATGTAAAAGAAAAAAAAACTCTATGAATTTGTTGCTTCCAAAGCACTTTCTTGATCTTTCTTCATCCGGATCTTTCGAGGCAAAAACTTTAAAAGCTAAGGACTTATAAGTGGCAAAACACGTGCAGAGCTATATTACCAAAAGGGACCTAACAAAATAGTCAAATCCATTTGATTTTTTTTTGTTTGAAGGCGTTAAAACCTTAGGTTATCAATTATTTCAAGACATTTCAACGTAGAATTTTAGAAAAGTATGTTTAACGCACGTCAATGCTCAAGCACTGACTAATGAGCTGATGATACCCCAGTGACTAACAGTCCACCTGAAGTAAATATAGTGCTCTAAAATGAAAATTACACATAGATTTATTGCGTCCGAAGTGATTTTCCAGATTTACCTACATCATAAAAGTCGTTGAAGAATATACCAGTAAAATATATTATTGTGCAAATACACCATCCTCTTTTTATGTGTATCAAATTTACAATAACAATACCTACCTGAGAAACATTTTATTCTAGGTCCTGGCATATGTATTGATGACAAGGCTCCATGTACATCTTTTGTAAAGGTATCTGCAGCAAATAAACGAATTAAAACTTTCTTGCTTTCAAAGTTAGAAAAGTATACAATAATATTATAGACAAATCCATTGAAGTATTATAGATACATTGAATAAGCGTTGATTCTTGAAAAGGAAACCATGAGCCCGGACGGCGAATGGTTTGTTTTTAATGAATCAACGCTTATTCATTGTATCTATAACTTAAACTATTGTGTTGATGTCTTTTCAAAATTTAAGCCTTTTCTAAATTAGAAGGTATTGTAAGTGAGTTTAAATAACCATGTTATCATGTTCAACGATTCATTAATAAATCTAAGGTCACAATTAATTGGTTAGAGAAATACAAATATAACATAACACGTCTGTCCTTATTATTATCAGGCATCTGAATATTATCCGTAATTTACAAAATAAGGCATATTCGAACTTATTTCTCGGTAAAAATAATAAATATAATACCGATATTTCTAGCACGAAGCCTAATTCTATTTGCTAGCATAGGGATCCCGAATAAACATTTGTAAAATTATGTAGTAAAACCGATGCAATCATACTATATTTATAAAACAAAAATGGACAGGTTGAATGTAATCATTTTCGTTTCAAATATGTGAAAAAGCCAATAATAATCCAAAAATAAACGGGGAAAACCCGCTATTATTACTAAAATATTCACAATAACATACAAAATAAGAAAAACGGAAAAACTAAAGAATAGGGACAACAAAGAGAATACAGGGATTCGAACCTTAACCGATAAGTCTCTACCTTTAACTTGACTCTTTAACTCATTGATCTTAACCATACTAACCTCGCGGCTACCAACTTATACTATACGATTGCCTATTATGTATAATACATACAAGCCCTGTGTATCCGTTGTACCGATGTGTATCATATGTTCATTTATATATATAAAATAGACATTTAAATTACAACCCATTGTTAGCCGAGAGAATTCGTCGATGTGTTGATGTCAGTCACACATACCAGATTTCAAGGAGGGGTTCGAATCCCAGTGAAGGCATATACAAATTACAAAAATTAAAGGTAAGTTTCTAAATTAAATCCATTAGTGAACAGAAATCAGTAAGTTAGCCAATTCAAACTTAATGAAATAAGGCACACAAAGGAAACAATTGAAAAAATTTGGTGGGTCCATTTCAGCGGCACGTTGATTCTAGAAAAAGAATCCACGGTAAATGAATAGGCTGACGTCACGACAATAGTTTAATCAAGGTATAATGAAGTAGCAAGTTAAATATAATTGGTAAGTGGTAAAAACACGTTACAATTACATTACATGTATTTTCACCTTGAACTGTGAGTAATGTTTGTTTTTTATTTTGTGTGTAAATAAAATTATTACTATCTGTCATAGATATCCCATGAGGACGCGGTGTGTCAGTGTAAGATCACCCCGACGGCCGGAGGCCGGAGGGTGATCTTATACTGACAAACCAAGTCCGAGTGGGATAACTATTTTACATCCCAGCTCTTCTAGACTATATGAAAAAAACCATTTACGCTTCATAACATCTAGTTCAGAATGCCATACAATAATTATAATATACTTTATATATTACTATTTAGTATATACCCTTTAAACGCCCCGGATGCAAAGTTTAAATATGTTAAATTAACAGTGAAGTTGTATCCAGTCGTCCTGGTGTAGGTGTATGAATCGTGGCTTCATATGCTAAAGGTCTCGAGTTCGATTCCCAGCTTAGAGACTGGAAATTAAGTTGAATTTTTCTACATAATATTGAAAGTTAGTCTTTATTCCGCTTTAATATTTCAAAGTTTTATTAAGTGTTGGACATTCCCGCCAAAATGTTACAGAACACAAGAAATCATGCAAAACAAAGAACATCAAGGTAGGTTGATCGGGTAGGGGTGGTCCCACTCAGATCACCCCTGTTAGAACAAAGGAGTTGGGATGTAAAACTAAAGACATTGAAGTGTAAGTAAGGTAATATGTAGAGCTGTCTACTATGGGTAAAGGAAAATAACAAAGATTCCGAACACATCTCTAATTTTCGCGCAACTTGCCATTCACGAAGCGTTGTTTAGGTAGGCTATTGGTTCAAACAAAGATTATAAGTTACATACATTTTACAACTTGTAAAGGGTATTTATGTCAAAGTATTGAAGAAAATCATTTAGGTAACAATGAAAATCAAAGTCGAAGTGTGTCATTAGTTAACATAGGTCCGTAAGAAATGATATTTTGCAAATAGTGCTAAACACGACCTCAACCTTTATATACCATTCAACCATATATAAATAAATATGATAAATTCAATAATATCAATGTTGTTCAAATAAAACAATCGAACCCGACGGATGAGTATTTTATGAAAATTGGAAAATTCTTTCCGTGTATGGCTATATCATCAATTTTAGTCATCGTTCAAAATGGAACATAGAGTGAACAATGTTTAAAACGTATAATATTTGATAGTAAGTGAAGTATATAAAAATGTATTGTAAATTGTCAATTGCAACTCAGTTAGTAGTGATTTTGTGAGCATAAAAAATAAACGCTTGATAGCCATTTAAGAGCAATACCGGTCAATTCCCTTTAAATTCAAGATTTATTTATCAAAAAAGATTTCCTTTTTTTATTTTCATAAGTAACGTTTTTTTTTTTATATCAAATTAATATATTACATTTATAAATACGTACGTGCATTGGATAAACTTTGTCTCCTATTAGGTCTGGTTTCATTCGTATTTCATACATTAATATTTTCAATTAATATGGCTATACAATGTCCCTCTTTTTTCAATGTCAAACTAATTTTGTTGATCGGTTGCTGTTTCGTTGACGTTTTATCTTTTAGCAATATTCAAGTTTTAGCAAAAAATAACGTGTTTGCACTTTAAAAATTCAAAATCAGGATATAATGATCCTGATCACCTTATTTAATCGACTTTTTGTATTAAATTGAATAAATTAAAGTAATTTTGTAAATATCTCAATAAATGTTTTTAATCAAATTAATGCGCGAACGAAAAAAAAATATTACTACGACTCTTTACTATTGATAAACAAATCAAACATGATAAACTGCAAAATATCTGAACATTTACTTACTAGAAATAAGTGGATTTAGGTAGTTGCACTTGATAGCACCTAAAGGGGTTCAATCATAAAAAAACACGCGTATTTGTTAACCGTTTCAAGGTTTGAATACTTTTCAATGTTCAAATTCTTTTCGGGGGACCTCGGTGGCCGAGTGGTTTAAGTAGTTACTACTGTAATCACTAGCCAGTCAACACTGAGGTTGTGAATTCGAATCCCGCTCGTGCGGGTGCATTCGACTGCAATTTAAATTGACTAGGATTGTCAGTTTTCCTATCGAAGGTCGGTGGTTTTTCTATGGGCACTCCGGCTTCATCCACCAATAAAACTGGCCGCCACGAAAAAGCCCAAAAGCGGTGCTTAAAAATGGCGTTAAAACACCAAAAATCAATCAATCAATCAAATTCTTTTCTTTATCCATTATCTAAACTTACCGAAATCACTTTCATTACAATTCGTACCACCAGTCGCCATATAAACTGAAAATAAGAATAGAAATACAAAGTGCGATCATGCTTCAGGCTATTTTACTTATTTGGTCTTTTTAACTTTTTTTTTATTTGAGCGTCACTCTTGGGTCTTTTTTAGATAGACGAAACGCGCATATGTTGTACACAATTATCAGCCTTGTATCTTTGATGAGCTTTTTTTTTGCAGTTTTTAGCTTTCTTGAATTGTTGTCGATTATGTATTTATGGTAACAAAATATTTTTTTGGTGATGAAAGGGGAAATTGAAGACCACATTGCATTAACAGAAAGAGCTAAATAAGATCTCAATAGTAAATTTGACATTTTCAATTAACTTCAAACTACAGATGATCCGGTTTCGGATGATCTATCACATGTTTAATTGAAAATTTTATACTATTTGCTGAACAAATGCAAAAAAATTTTTTTTCAATGACCATATTTAAAAAAAAAAATATGAAAAATTGACGCACTATTTTTGAAATAAAGGACACCCATTTTTTGTAAAAAATGAGAATTTTTTATAATAATAATGCTTATTATAATAATAACAACAATAATAATTATAATAATGATAATAATAATATAAATAATAATAATATAAATAATAATAATAATTATAATAACAATAATAATAATAATATATAAAAACCAATTGAAGGTCTTTCCTTCCCAAATGCACATATTTTGTTTCATATGAAAATTTTTGACTCAGGTTTAAAGTGTCATTTCTGTTGTCAGACGGTAGCTTACTGAAAGCCAATTCCAAATATATATGATTTCTATACACTTTTGCGTAAAAAAAGGGGAGATAATTTGCTACTGCCAGTTTGAAAAAAATCCCTTTAAGTATCATATAATAGGTCACTTTAGACTGATTCCAAAAATGTATGGCTCTAGATATTTTTATATTAAATTGATAAAAAAATGGCTACTTCTGGTTTATTTCAGATCACTTCCGGTTTCAATGTCAGCTGTAATAAACTGTACAGGACATCGATACAATATTTTTACTAATCTCTGAGTTGCGACATGTCATAACATATATATTTTGGTTAAAAGGGTACGGTTACATTTTATAGGAGTTTTCTACCCTCCTATATTTAAAATGAGATGTATTGGGATATAACTCATAAACGATATATAATAAAGACTATGGTTCTTTTGATTTGAGGTCCTTGGTTTAAGACCTTGAAATTAGAGTTAAGGTAAAAGTTAAATTTGCTATAACTTCATATTTATACATGATAACTAAGCAGTGTCAAATTTCAAAAGCTTATTAACTGTTTGAAATCATATTACAAATATCTTAGCAACATCTCGCAAACATCAAAAACAACGCAAGAAAAAAAATGACGAAAGAAAAAAATAAATAAAAACCAACTTTTCAGAGAACAATTGAAGGTCTTTCCTCTATTCCCCAACCCAGAAACGATATATTTTAATATAAAAATATTCAGATTTAATTTAAAATGTCATTCCGGTGTCAGATGATAGCTTGATGTACGTTTATTTAAAAAATACATCACTTTTGTTTGAAATAAGGGAGATAATTTGTTACTTCTGGTTTGAAAATATCACTTCCGGTATAATATGATAGTTACTTGACACTGATTCTTAAAATATATGATTATATATACTTTTATATCAAGTACAAAAAATAACTACTTCCGGTTTACACAAGGTCACTTCCGGCAGATTTTTTTCAAGGTCATATGGCCTGCAACTTAATGCAAAAGGTCCCACGACTTTATGCATAAATATGAGGTTAAAGCAAAGGTCAAACTCTAGAACGTCAAATTGAACTTGACCTAGAACCTAAATTTCAAAGTCATTAGCAAGGACCTCATATCCAAAAACCTCAGGTCTCTACTATGCATTGTTAATAAGTTATATTACCATACATCTTACTTTCAGCATTTCAGGGAAGAACATTCCTAGTAAATGTAACCGAACCGCTTTGAAGACAAAACATTCCTATAACGACATATTGCAACTAACAATTTAGTGAACATCTTTTGTCAATATACATCACAGTTTCCTAGGAGTAGCATGCACAAGCAAAATAAAGAAATAGAACATGACATTGACCTTTTACCTTGACCTCATAATCTTTTTGGTGGACCCAGGACCTCAAATCACAAAAAGTCTCTATCACTTATGGTTTATGAGTTACTATTACATTCAACGTATGTCGAATACACAAAGGGAAATAACTGTTATATTTTGTAAACTAATTTTGTCGTAATCTTTTAATGTTGCGAAGAAGTAGAACACACAAGAAAAAATCATTAGGGGAGATAACTCTTACTGGTTAAAGTGTTCTGTTAACCGGTGCCAGTTTTGAAAGGGTATAAACTGTTTGTTATCATATACTAAATATTTAAATCCTTAAGGTATTTCCGCGTAAAAGTGGAAAGACCTAATAAACATCAGAACAAAATCAAAAGTTCTTTCCATGGAGAGCTCTAATAATTATAATAAAACAACTATAATAACAGATTCTTCAAATAAATTATATGTCTGTTTTGTTATATAATGGAATTTGATGCGACTGTCATACAAGTGAGAGGTTTAGCGCTATAAAACCAGGTTCAATCCACCATTTTCTACATTTGAAAATGCCTGTACCAAGGCAGAAATATGACAGTTGTTGTCCATTTGTTTGATGTGTTTTATCATTAGATTTTGCCATTTGATTAGGGACTTTCCGTTTTGAATTTTCCTCGGAGTTCAGTATTTTGAGATTTTACTTTTTTTTATATGATAATTAAAAATGTTTCCATTAAAAACGAAACTGTGATACATCTATTTTTACCTCAAAATTACTGTAATATTCTTAGTATCGTTGAATATCAAGTGTTTGTGCATGGGACTAAGAAGCAGGGGAATCTGTGCTTTAGGGAGCTTTGTGTATTGTCAATTGTGTTGATTAGTACCTTAATAATGACTAATAGAACAACAGAATTAGCAAAATATGATATATATAAATAAATACCTTATTTCTCATGAAGAAAATTGTTAAAGAGAACATACAAGGATGTACACATAATTATAAGGTAGGAATAAAGCATACATTGCGTGATCATTACAATTCAAATTAATAATTTTGATTAAGTTTCACAGGTTTTCTCTTTTTATCAATTCTATTAATTCGAATTGTAGATACACTGATTTGATGAACAAAACTCTGTAAAAACGTTTTCCTCTCTATTTCACTGGTCTTAAAATTCATTATGAAAAAGTATTAGTTAACAATCTTAATTAAGTCACATAGACAACACAGTCTGCCTTCTCTTGTCACACTCTGACAAACTCTATCGGCATTATATGCCATTCTGATAGTCGTCAACTGTCCTCAACTTCATTGGAATCGTATGCTAAAATATTGTGATACATGTAAGGTCGATTTCCCAGAAACTATAATCAGTAAAACAATATGTTGTAAATAGAATAAACTTTGAATTGTGACGAGAAGTACACCATATTCTGATACGTGAAACATACCTTTGACTAGGTTTAAATTTCCTGAATATAAATATGTGCTGAGCATAGACCTTAAATGATGGAACGACAACATATGGTATAAATTTTGTTATGGGTCATAGGATGTAACATTAAACCATACGTAACCTGACCTTGATGTGAACTGAATACTTCAGGGTTTCATTCATTAATTAATCATTCCACAGAAACAGGACACCTTTATTATATTAAGGACTCTGAGAGACAAACAATACATCTTATAGTTGTCTTCTGGTTATATTGGTTGCATACATTGGTTTTTGAATAAGGTATTGTAATTTGAGTTGGAAAAACAAATTTGGGGTTCATCTCTGTCTATTACTAAAATATCGACTTTTTATATATCATTTTATATTTGAGGAGGTTACATAAAAGCGAATGACTTGCTAAAGAAATTATCATTTCTTAGACTAAATTATAATTGCCTAATAAAATTTCAGCATAATATTGTTTTAAAATAAGGAGATGTGATTGTCAATTAAACAACTTTGCACCAACGATCATATAACAAAATGTTGAAGAATTACAGGAAATCGTATGACATTCGACAAATGTGCAAATTCAAAACATAAAAGTTACATTGATGTGTGTGTTTACTTTTAATTATTGAATTTTAGGAATTATCCTTTTTCGTGTTATCTGTACTGGAATACTACTTGACCGATGGAATATTCATTACTATGAAACCTAATATATGGGGTTTCGATAAAGATGTTTGTCAAACAGGAACAAAACCAGAGTAGACCGGCGCTTGAATTCTGTAAACATTTTGTTTCCTAATGGGGTTCCTTCCAGTTGGGTTGATGTATATTTTCTGTGAAATATGCTTCAAAAAACACACGTACTCCATTTTACTTTATTTAGTTCTTTTTCGTCAATGAAATTTTTTTTTTCAAATTGCTTGAATTCTTTTTTATATGTTTAATAAATCACAAATTTCATAAGATTTACACGACAAAAAATGATTAACTATATCTAAAAAGGGAGATAAATGGTCTCGAATCTTGACTACTGTGGATTCATTTATTTTCGTGGATATCAATTTTCGTGGATTGCTGAAAACTTGCATATTCGTTGATATTTGATTTCGTAGTTTTGCCAATCTCTGTATACAAAGCCCATTGAAAATATGTTTTTCGTTGAACATTTAAATTCGTGGTTCACCTGTATCCACGAAACCCACGAAATTTGGTATCCAACGAATAATAATGAATCCACAGTATTGGTAATCATTCTTATAGAGAGTGGGAACACCAAAGAAGTTAACAATGACGAAAGAGGGTAATGGAAAATCATTAGTCTAATAAAAACGGACAACGTTATGGCCAAAAAGAAAAATGACCAAAGCAAAAGTTATCAAATCAAAATATTACACAAATATAAAAATTGAACAACGCGACCTCTACCTAAGAAAACGGGATGAAGGTAGGTGTTCCGGAAATGTCAGCATATTATGATCAACTAGTGACATCCGTCTTGTAACTCAAGTTAAATTGCTTTGGTGAGTCAAATGTGGTGAGAAGGCTCCACACAAATCTTGTTGGCACTTGTCCATGATGTCTCTAATCCTAACTTAATTCAAACCTGAAAAATACTATTAAACGATCGGTCACATTTTGACGAAATGTGAAAGTAAGAGATGAGCACTTTGGTTTCAATTGTAGAGGAAGGACAATACTGTCCCGGATAAAACAACATAGATATTGTTCCTTAATTTTCGTCATTAAACATACTTTGAGAAAAACCACAATGTTTCCAACAACAAATACACTGACGATGATATCATCAAAATGCTGAACTTTCTGGAAGACAGAACATTTGTTGAGTTTAATGGATTGATTTCTCAATCGACAGTCGGTATGTCAATGTGGGTTAATTGTGCATCCTACTGGGCGCCTGTGTTTGCACTCATATAATGCAGAATTCATACGCAACCTTCTCAAAGGCCAAATGAAAAGCAATTAGCAAAATTGGTTTATTTTCCTTTCAAATATACTGATTATATTTTGTTATGTTCTATCATTCTATAACCAACATTGCAGTAAGGGTTGTCATTTTTCATATCGCAGTGAACCTGAAATTAAGCATACTACCAAAACTAAAAGGTCTCTTCCATATCTTAATATCTTGATTTTTCACTAGATTTTGACAATGATAGAAGACTTAAAACTAGAATATATTTCAAACGTGCGGATTTCAACCTTCCAACTGACATCTTCTTGTTTCTTAGCAGTAATAAACCGTCTGCCACATCATAACGTTTACATATCTCAATTAATTAATTACGTCCGTGCCTGTTCACAGAATATGCCCTGCATTAACAGGTGTGTGCAACTTAGAAAAAACCTGCTCCAACAGAGTGTTAAGTCGACTTGATTGCACACGACATCATAATTATATCAATAATTGCACTAGTAAATTAATTTGAACTAAAACGGCTTTTTGGATATCAACAGCTTCAACAAACTAAACAATACCCTTTTAAAGTCATATTTAGGCTGTCAGTCAAATGTCGGACTTACCCACTGCGGTAAATTCAGTACTGTTTGCTTGCAGCTTATTAAGATCTGTTCAGTCTATGTTCATATTGTTTAGTAGTTTTTAATCACCTGTTCAAATCAACAAGATACTGGAATTTCAGTACAGCCACTAAACAGTATTTCATTGAGTGAATGCCAATTTCCCATACAAATTTACTTACAATTTTAACAAGACGTATTGTTTTTATACAGCAACTAACGACAACCACTAACAAACTGGCTCCTGACATGCGACAGGCACATACAGAAAGAAAAAAGTGCCCTTACCCCTCCTTTCGTATGGAACAGTTGTCTATATATAAAATAATAAAATGAAACAAAATTGTTCTATTGATTAAAATTGATAGTTTAAACCAGCCTGTAAAATACTCATATTTCACTTTATTGTAAAGCATTTAACGTCCAATTTTGGCTGCCACTAGTATCACATAAGTTAAACACTTCATAGCCATTAATCAAATCGTATATTTTATGTATGAGTTACTTTTAGCGTCAAAACGGACTAATTTTCACTGCGAATGTTATTTCGATAAAACGTTGAAATTTATTAACCATTTTGGCTACCCTCGATCATTGTTAAAATCAATTGTTCCGCTCTACTGTTAATGAATGTTTCCCTAACAAGAACATATTTAAACCAAACAATCAGATTGTAAAGACACACTATTTAGTTCAAGTTCAGATATTAAAACGAATCCATTAAAGCTTTGTCACAATCAATAATTTGAATCGGTAGATATATATCATATAATTTCTTTTGTGCTGTTTCTTCTTAATGTTTTGCTTTGTTGTGAACTTGTATTACACACATATTGTCTATTATATCTTTTGTTATATAAGATAAATAATTCTCAATTTCGAAGATCGAACATTTTTTTAAATAAACGAAATTAATAAATAACACAGATTTTAAATACTAAAAGAGAACATATAGCATTTAATTGTCTTTATCGTTGAATAATATCTAGTCGTACGCATTATTAATAATACATTGTTATTTGAAGATATAATCGAGCTTATGGAAATTACAAACCATTGTGTGAATTGCCAAGTGTTTGGGATTGACTTCGACAGCAAACAGTTAAAACGTCAGATACTAATCATTCTTTTATGACGTCTTTATTTTGATTTGTAAACAAATCCGTGTTCTTATAAGCACAAAACATGTTTGGTACATGCGCACAAACTTCCTGTCTACATTCTCGTTATTTTCATTTGTATGTAATAAAATATATATATTTTAGCTGCTTACATTACATTTTATTATCTATTGTTATTGAATGTAATCAATGTACATATTTCATGGGAAGGAAAAGGAAACAGCCAAACATGCCTAAGATATTTAAACACGCTTCGTCTTATGAAAATACCGTTTTTTGTCCTATTAGAATCAAAATAACTCATTTGTGTCATGCTCTATGCTCATTTTAACATAGGTAGGCATTTAATTGAACATGTTTCATGCCTTGCTAACGCTCGGTTTAAAATATAAACAAATATTATGCCTGCCAATTTTAAAATGAGCATAGAGCACGCCATGAAGGAATTATTTCTTAAACAAATCAATCAGAACTTAGGTGTAGTGTTTTTAAAACAATATAAACACACATAACTAAACAAATTGCCGATGTTTAAACAGTTTTGTGTTTCGTAATTGGTAACTTTCTGTGGTTTGTAGTATGTTCGATGTTTTGTGGTTTTAATTTTTGATTTGATTTTTAAGAGAGTGCAGGGCTATACCTTTAATGTTGACTTGACTACATACAAAATAATTCGGCTAGCTCATGTATTCTCTCAACTATCTCTATATGACTGTACGAGCAGACTAATGCAGATTGTAATGCATGCATTTCTACTAAGATTGGTATCGATTACTGTTGCCTCATCCACGACTACATTACGGTCACTATATTGATTAAAAGATACATATTACTTTTTATCACGAATAAATAGAATAATATAATGTGGACACTGTATTGCAAAAACGTTAGTTATGATGACATCATGACGTCACAAATATGTCAATATTGAAATACCAGATCAAAAATTTTTCTTTTACACGTACTAATTGGATAAAATAGATATGAACCACATCCAAACCCAAAAAGATATTTTACACGCATAAACATCTATGCAAAATATATTTTTGTGTAAAAGCTTTGCTTCAATATGAATATTAACGAAAAAATCTCAGATTAGACTTTTCGGCAGTTTCTGCAGTTCTGTACTAAATTAAAAAAGTTTCAAGTCAAAATAATTTGAAAGGCAAAGTTCTAAACTATAAATAACGACTTCTGTCAGATGTATGTCTTATGAACATTTATGAGATGTTAATCGATATACTCCTATACTTTTTTATTGTCAAATTCATGGGGCTGCAAATTGTGACCTTATCATACCATTTCCTTTGTTCATAATGACTTAAAAATAAGGAAGTGTGGTATGATTGCCAATGAGAAAAATATCCACCAAAGTTTAATAGTCGTGGATATAAGCAGTTATAGGTTATCGATAGGCCTTGAACAATGAGAAATACCCATACTATGTATATTATTAGCTACAAAGGCCACAACATCACAAATATGAAATAATACAAAGGAGAAAGATAATGGCTTAATTTTAAACAATTTAATTTACGAAAAAACAAATATGATAGACACGAACCAACGACAAACAATCAATTAAAGGCCCCTGATCTGGGCCTGTAATTGTTAAAATTTGTTAGGATTTGTTTCTTGAAAATACATGATAATATAAACTATGCACATTTGTTTTTTTTTGTATTTTGTTTGTCTTTCTATTCTATAGGACGAATCGGGTGTTTATTTTATAATTTACTACACTGTTTTCTTGCAGAATTATAATTAATTTCGCGGATCGGGTTGAAATATGTGAAATGTTGAGTCACTTGTTACGCCACTTTACTCCATAAAAAGTGCAAAATAATTACAATATGTGTTCAAGTACGCCTCAAACATGTTAATGTTATATCATTCAACCCAAAACAATGAACATAAGACAAAACCAGAGATTCTTAATATTCTTACCCTTTTTATACTCTACTGCATGCCTATATTCGGTTAAATTGTATGCTGAAAAACAGTCTTGTTAATACTTCCTTAGCAATAAATTCAACACAATTGTATGGTGTTCCCTTGGTGTCAAATAAAATGACTTTGATAGCAAAATGTCATGTATAAAAACGAATTTGTGAAGAAAATGTTTAAGTTGTAGACATCGTTTGTCCTTTATTTTATGTTATCAATATTAATTTTATATTTTTATGATATGTAATCTGTATTTGTATCTTGATTGTGTGTAGACTTTTAGGCATTCACGTGTTACCGTCGTATACTACATTCTTTCGAATCTATGTGTATGTGTATTCCATTTAATTTGGTAAAGTGATCTACATAAATATGTATATCTTTGAATGTGCCTTGGATACATGTGTTACTTAGACTGAAATTATGGGATGAATGTAAGTAAAACATAAACTGTTGAGACATGTCTTTGCTATGTATTATTTTAATATTATAGATTCAAATGTTGAAATTTAAACGACAATACTGTGTACTTATTGCACACTTGGAAACCTCAACAAGTTATTTTGAGAACAGTTCATCAAAGAAAAATTTGGAACAATAACAGTTATTTTAAAACATGAAAGAGATTGCAGGATTTATTAAGGTCGCAATTGGCTATAGAATAAACGAAAATCAATGATGAAAATTAGTATTACGATAAAGCAATATTGGTTTGTTTAAAAATATACCCTTTCATGATTAATGCAGCCAGAAATAACCATAAAAAAATCAGTAAACGGTAAAAAGATGCAAATTCGTGACTATTTGACTGGTACATACACGAAAGTAGTATAAGCAGTGACTGTATGTCTTTTAACGGTAAAATAAAAAGTTTGGTCGACGTTCACGTTTATGCTCTGTGTTAATTAAGCCAACATCTTCTTACAATAGCCTGTTTTTCTTACAACTTTAGGGTATGGTATAACATTGTTTATGTCACAATCAATTTGTGTCATTAAAGCTTGACTAATATTTTCCGAATAGCCTGTCTTCTAATGCTCAAACAGTGTATTTCAAAGTAATGCTACAGGGCCAAACCAAGCTAATGTCCCGTCATTTAACATGTAAGCAATGAAGTGGCAAAGTCTATAGTTAACTCAGAGTCGGGAACAAATGACTCCGATGAAATATTATACAAATGCTTAAATGCTTGTACAAAGCCATATCAAAAGTAATCGGCGAACTTTCTAAAGACGTAACAAGTTGCATTATAACATATCTGGTTTTAATAAAAAGAATTGGGACAACTTTATAAAATATCAGACATTCAACAAGTGTTTTATTGTTTAAAATTTTTAAACATTTCTGTGTCCTGGATCAAGCACATTCTCGCTATTCACCATTTTTCTTTTGAAAATGCTGTGACCAAGTCAGGAATATAAAAGTTTTTTCCATTCGTTTCGTTGGTTGATAAAGTCGAACGTTTGATTTTGTCAGTTTTTATGGACTTCCTTTTTTTTAATTTACCTTGGAGTTCGGTGTTTTTGTTAATACATTTTTTATGACCCTGATTTTCACGTCATTTTCCATGTTTTATTTCTGTGTTTACGTAAGTGTTCTCCTGTTGGAGATCCTATGTATCATATTACTACAGTTCATTATTTGTAGTTCCGTATTCTCTAAGACAGTATCAATAATTGTTAGTCATTAGCATCTATTCCACAATATTATGTCATAGCTTTAGATCATGAGCTCGCTCCGGCAGTCAAGAATATCAATGAAAAGTAAACACAGAAATTAAACGTGGCTCCAGAGATGCTATTACGTGTACCAATATAACCACCATTTGACGGTATGTTCCATATGTACATCCCTACCTTCAAATTTGATATATTTTTATTAGAGGTTCGAGCTGTTTGGTGGGTACTCATTGATATCATAATGTCAAGGTACGTTAAATTCCATTTTCCCATAGCTACAATCAAGTTGATAAATATAAAAGAAAGACAACACCATTTCCCAAAAACGAAAAAAAAAGACGAAAAGAAAATCACGAATGCACAAATCGCTACACATAAAACAAAGAGTTAAAGACACCATGTCACCTAAATCCAGTAGTGAACTCGGGCGCTCCGAAAAGGTAAGCAGTTTCGTTTTCAACAGTGACAACTGGTATGTAGCTAATGACAAGGACATATATTCGGTGATAAGTTACATTGATTGATGTCAAAATAAAGTCAAGATGGCGGTTTTGTGACTATCATAAGTGGAAGACGGACATTGGCATATATGATACACATGTTACATAATTTTATTGTCAACCAAATTATCAGGGTATCCATTAAATTTTCGAAGATTAATTGCAACTGCATCACTAAAAATCCTTGCCTTGATTACTTCCTTGTAAAAAAAAGAACTCCCATTAAGATAGTACAAAAGGAAACACAACCATTTGACTTTTGTTTTAACTGGTACATGTATGCTCAACATGCAAGAGATTTAAAAAGTTCCTTTACAGAATGAAAAGTACACGTCAATGGAAATCATCGAATAAATAGTGTACGTCGTGAAGTTAAGTTCTGACTGCAACTCACATTGTCAATGTAAATATATAAAATTTAAATACGGATGTATCTTGTTTCCAGTCTTCTTACAGTACACATAAAAAACATACAAGTCGAAAAGGAGAAAAATACACATTTTCATCATGTTAATGTTAATTGTCTTTTAAAACCCGTCCTACACACATTACACATTTGATTTTTCTAATTAACATGTAAAGCATATTTTTGGATTATTCACTGTGCTACAAAACATCATTAGCCATTATTTAAGGTTACTCATAATTAAAATAACACTTTCCAATTTTTTGGCGTACAAAGGGTTGTTCTGGATATAAATTCTTCAATAACGCTCTACCCCAAAACTTGAACGCAATGGATGTATAAACACGTAAGGAGTCATCCTACCAAAAGGGCCAAATAGGAATAGCTGAAAACCATCTTGAGTCAACTTTGATTGAGGAAGTTTAAACATTTGTTTTTTTTAATTATTGTCAACTGGAAATTGAAGATGAAGTAAATGCATGCTATAAAAAATAATGTCAAGGGCGCAAAGAAAAACCCTAGGGGACCTACATATGTCTTCATTTATCTGATGTATTAAATTACACAAATGAAGTAAGGATATTACAATACATTTTGATTATACATTCTTTTTTGCGATATCTTGACGACATTACACTTACTGATTGCTTAAGAATAACTCGGATTCTATTTCACCAATTCAAAGACAATATCATTTTGTAGAGCTTTGGATAGAATAGATACGTCGAAAGATGGTGAATTTGAAGATATAATTCAATTTCTTTGGAGCACCTACAATTATTGTCCTTGCTAACGTACATTGACCAATCAATTATAATAATTTCAGATGGAAACCAAAATTTAGTACGTCGAAGATTTAGAAATGGCGTCGAAGAGTACAGTAGATTTCTCTTTCGATGAACGTGATAAAAAAGGAAATATGGTAAGAAAAAAGGACCAAGCACAAACTAAACATATAAAAATAATGCTTGTAAGTGCAGAAAAGATACCAAGGGGGATTAAAAAACCACAATTCCAATAAAAACAGACAACACTATGACCAAAGATAAAAAAAAAGAAGAAAGATAATAAACACCAATAACGAAACATCGAACAGAAAGCTAAGTTTGATCATGTACGAATAGTTCCAAAAGCGGTATGAAAGCAGTTGCTTCGGAAAGAAAAGCAGATCTTGCACAAAAACTTATACCCCTTTAGTGGTATTCATTTTGTGTAAACATTGTTTAAAGTCGAAAATAAATTCCATGTATGTATCGGGAGAGTAGTTTACAATGTATAAGAAAAGGTGGTTTCGACAAATTGAAAAGAAAGGCAAAAATACCAGAGAAGTCGAAGAAAAAATAACATGTCAAAAACAAAAAACAAAGAAAAAACGACGCAGGGACAAAAAACCGCCTACAAAATACAATATAGAGAGCAAAAGACTGGAGTATATATGTTGTCATCTGAGACACATCAGTTCAAATATCATTATTGCTTCCTTAAGATTGTCGAAGGGGTGACTTCAGCTTTACCTTTTCGAATGTTAGATCCAATAGCTTCCTTTTAAGTAGTAACCTTATATCACGGAAATCATGATAGGATACGCAAGCCCTGGTATATCGTATCAACTTGGAAATGTATACTCTACATACCAGCGGTACTTGCAGATTGAAACTCAGATATTAAAAGCTAACAAAGGATCTTTTTTATTTTCTTAAAGCTTAGTTCTTAACTGACCCTCCCTGTCAATTAATATTAAGTCACGATTTGAGCCTGTCTTAACAGTGGCATTCTTTATTATTCGATTTTTTTCAATAACACAATTGCTACACGTTAAACTATTAAATGAAAGGACAACATCTATGTGGCAGAACACGAGTTAAATGATATTACTGTATCTAGGTATTACGATTGCTTTTGCAAGCGGTATACATTTTCGAGTCAGAAGGACAAAGAATGGGAAAAATTATAAATAGGATTCTAAATAAATATGTGACTGTTTTAAATGCTTTGTAGTGGCGTTCTATCCTGTTTATACTATTTTAAACCATAATTAATCATTAATCCACCATTTTCTATATAAGAAAATGCCTGTGCCAAGTCAGGAATATGACAGTTGTTTTCCAATTGTTTGATGTGTTTGAGCTTTTGATTTTGCCATTTGATTAGGGACTTTCCGTTTTGAATCTTCCTCGGAGTTCGGTATTTTTGAGATTTTACTTTATACTACAACAATACATGCAAGATCATTGATCCTTCGAACATTAATTACGTTGATCCAAAATACCCATCATTTTAAATTTTTAATTATCTAGTCTTTAGGGGGAAAAAATCAAAATTTAATATTGAAATTAAATTCCAGAAAAAAGTCAGTCAAATTAGCCCCTGATTTAATCCCGTCATTTCATCAATACACTTGAATGTTCAGATATCATTTCCATGAAGTATTGTCCGAACACCGCAAATCTTGTCTGCATGTGTTGTCAAAAAAAGAAACACATTTCACATAAAATGAAATGACACACAAAAGTTTTAAACGACGTAATTGAATTACTTTCAGGATACAAAAAAAAATAAATGAAAACCTAATTATTCAGAGAATAATCGATTTTTTTTTTATCTTTAAGCATATAATTGTTATGACTCTAAAAATGGTCGAAAACGGAAATATGAGATGCTTCTAGTTTGAACAAGACACTTTTCGTGTCAGGATATGTGTCAAATAGCAGAAATTGTATTAACAAGCCATACGCAAGCAAATAAAGTTATTTGCAGATAAAAGAGTTTGTGACTGATGGCGTGTAAAATTCGGTGCACAGGTATACGCTATCAATATATACTTGATAGTATGTTTTGTTGGTTTCATTCTCATAAACTCGGAACTTTACTAATTCATTATAGAAACCGATACTTTCTTAAACCTACAAAACAGAATTATCGCATCCTTCAATTTACCTGTGATCAATCATTGGCAAAAATTATGGGATTAAAAATGTATATCGTACATTTAATTTTTTAGGATGTCAAATATCTAACCTACGTTAAGACTATCTGAAAATGTTATATCGTGTAGCCATCTTCGTTAATAATGAAGCTTAACATAATGTATATACTTCTGAAAAACAAACGAACAATTGTTTGTCAACAAAAGTTCATACAAATATTTTACAATTATGCAATATAGTATACAGTGATTTAGTTATATGTATTGTAATATATTTCTGACTTATGCATGTCCATCTATCTCCAACAGCAAATACAATGGTAAATTGAAAAAAGAAAAAAAAAAACGAACAACAACAAAACAAAACAAATAACAACTTAAGATTACCATACAGTCTTTAGAAGCCTGAGACAAACGTCTTTACAGCATACAAAGCCTTGCATTGATTGTACAATAATTGTAAGTAAATTCAACAACTGGCAGACAAGATCTGTCCTCAACACATAATTACATTAGCTTAATATATTCTAAATTTAGATAAGGACAAACACAAGTGGAAGTACCGATTTTTAGTCAGGCATGCACGTTTGTAGTGGCTTATCTATTTTCTAAAGAACTCAAAAAGTTGTTTTAATCACTGCTTGCACAAAGTTACAATCAGTTGTGTCAAAGAACTAAACAGTATAACACGTGTGTACAAGGAAAGCAAGTCTAATGTATTATCATAGTTTTATTGTTTAAATTAAAAAAAAAATGCGTTTTCGTCACGTTCAAAATATATCTTAATTTTTTAAAGTAAGGACGAAATGAAGCGAACAATTTACTTTTGATCTTAGATATTTGCCTTATTTTTGTAATTTCAAACACGACAACGACTAAATACTTGAACTTAAAAAATGGAGCGTAGCTCGAATGCTTTATAACTGTCCTCTCTTTGTAGATTTTGAAGTGTCAATAATTAAATGTGTATCCAAAACATCAGCACGTCGTGATCCGTCCTCAATCTATTAATTGGATACTTCACGTTTAGTTACTGGCTCGAAATAAAATCTTTAAAAGTTTTTAAAACAGAATTATTTCCCGGCCCATCGTTAACAATGAAATTATGTTCAAAACATGCGCGCTTTAACCATTTTGAAGTGTTAATATCAAAACAATAGTTTTAATTAATAAATGTGAAAACAACTGTTTCCAGTGACACGTCAGGCCATCTGATCAAACAATTTTGTTAAACCATGCAATTTACTACTTTTCAACGTTAAACATGTCCGCTACAATACTTACCCAGCACACTTCTTTCCCATGACCCGGACTGCCCTGTCTAAACCAGGCCTGTTCTAAATCTGAACTGCTCAGAGAAAAGGTGATCTTGTTAAGAAAGAAAGACTGCTTTTTCAGTTTTACATTTTATTTTATTACGTTATACTGGAACTTGAAGAATGAACACAAATATTGTTTATACAAAAAAGTAAAGAGCTCAAGCCAGATGTGGTATGAAAAATGATAAATATCGTGACAAGTCTTAAGCAAACATGTATTTATGATTTGTCTAAAGCAGATTGTTCACATGTCTGATCTTTAAAAAAACAGGTTTTCAGGACCTTGGCGGAGTTAAAAAGCAGACATAGGTCTGGTCGATCGCTTATAAAATTTTAATTGCAAAGTTGTAAAAAAAAATAGACGTTTGTACAGGTTATGACTGCATCGATCTGTAGTACGAATTCATAATGACATCCATTTATCTGTTATCATATTATGTATTGTTTTCAAATAGTTAAAATAAAAGTTGACGGGAGAGTCTATGCGCTGAACTGACCATGCCATATCGTCTTATCTATTTCCAATTAGAATAAATATTATTTGAGATATAGGGAAGTTATTTCTGGATTTTACTACATCGTTTTAACGGGGGAAGGGTGAAAGAAGACTCGCATACATTTGCACTTTTGTTTTTGGTTGAAAAATTAATTTGTGTATCTCCTAGCGGCTTAAAATGATAATCTCATTTCCAATTAACCATACGTATTTTTCCACTTTCGCTGCTTAAAGGTTATTTGTTGTACTTATACATAAAATGACACCTTGGATATATTTGTTTTTTTTTAAATTTTAGACGAAAAAATGTGATAAACATTGCTACAATGGTATTTTTCTATCATATTTAACTTCCATGTGAGAAAAATGGCAGGCGTGTCATTTTTGGAACATATATTGTTCAATACTTATATTTGAACGACATATAAACCATCACTTTCTATATTTTGATTGAACACATTTTTGAAATATTTTCAGGTTAAAAACATTATACTAATAGGTAGAGTAGGAGCAGGAAAAAGTGCTACTGCCAATACACTTTGTGGAAGCAAAACGTTTAAATCCTTACGATCTTCATGCCCAGTAACAGAGAGCATTCTGTCGAAAACCGTTGAATGTGAACAGTCTAGTACATCCTTTTGCATAATGGATACTCCTGGTATATCTGGAAGCACTGATAATGATGATCAGTTCCTGCATGATCTTAAAAAGGCCATTCAATCGTGCGATAGTGGTATTCATGCTATACTAGTTGTACTTTCTCTTCGGGAAAGTTTTTCTGAGGCAGTACAAGATTCTTTTGCGTATTTTTCAAGTATTCTTGGGTGTAACTGGGAAAGATATGGCATATTAGTTTTCACGAATGCTGACCAACTTGGAAGTTCAAAAAAGAGTCAAAATAAATATATATCTAAAAGTGAAAAATATTCAAAACTAGTGTTGCGTTTCAAAGGGAGATACATAACAATTGACAATACCAAGAGTTGCCAAGAACAACGTTCAAAATTGTTTTCGTTGATACTTGAAACTATTCATTATAACGGGCCATCTGTTTTTACCACAGAATGCTTGATAACAGAAAACAAGTTTCGTATGTTACAAGAAGGTTCGGACGATGAAAAAAAATTGAAAAGAATATTACAGGAAGAAAAAAACGAAAGGGAACGTCAGTTAAGAGGTAATAATTAACAAAATGACTTATTTGATATTAGTTTTTTTTTGTTATCATTTCAATATACAAATCATTGAAATAAGCACGGAAAATTGTTTTATCGAAAAGCGTTATTGTATTATTGTTTATAAATAAAATTGATTGTTAGATAGCTGAAGAATATAACCTTCAAAGTGGATTTACATGAACATCAAGATTGTTCTATAGGCGATTTTTTGCTTGACAGTCTGTATTTTCACATTCGTATCGTCAATCGGTCCAGAAATTATTGTAGTGTTTTCGAACAAATATTTTACGCTCGATCTTTTCAATTCAATTTTATGGAAAAATGAGGTGAATTGCATATGATTTTTATTTGAACTCTTGATAGATAAATGTCAATGGTTTCAGAAAAAGGTAGCACTCAAATTGATTGAAATTCTACTTTGGACCATATTTTGGGGACTTTCGGACGTTTTTACCCCCACCCCCTGTTGGCAATACTTTGTAATAAATAAATGCAGATTGTTGCCATTGTTACCCCAAGAGATTATATTTCACCATTTCAAATACATTTATTGGAAACTAAGTCTATAGAAGATGAAGTTTCCATACATATGCAAATACATAACACAGACAGTAAGTCTTATTTGTTGAAAGCAAGGGAAAAAGGGTTGCAACAGGAAAGGTAATGTTGATTTTGATCAAATAATTAACAGTCAGTTAGAACTTAGAGAGAAAACAGGCTGTTAACAGGACTTTAAGATATTGCACAGTTCTTATACCTTGCATACTCGCAACCAAATCAGATATCAACCAATCAAAATACTAGATTTGGTGTTTGGAGCACAATTTATGTACTCCGAGTAATGAGTAAAAAAGTACTCCGAGCAATGAGTAAAAAAGCATTGACCTTGACAGTTAAGGCGATACGGTATAGAAGTAGCTGATATCGTTTTTGCATAATTTGCTTACATTAACATGTGATTAATGAGGTTTCTAATTATTTACAATAATTTATGAAGAAATCTCATGAATGGACTGATGCATTTTCATGGTATGCTTAACTTTCAGATAATAAATAGGGGAAAAAGAACATTGTTTTCTTATTGCGTGTTGTTACACCATTGTCCTAGGTTAGTAGAGGGTTGAACGCTCACAAACCTGTTTCACCCTGCCACATTCTTATGGTGTATGTTCCAAGACAGGAGCCTGCAATCGAAATAATATACCAAACACATTTTAAAATGAAAACGGGTAAAGAAATTGATATAATAACTGGACATATTATAATCCTAGAAAAACTAGCTCTTCATAGATATCTTTGTGGAGGTACTTAACAAGGGTAAAAGTTTGTCTTTTGTCATCTTCTATGTTGACAATAGTTCATTGTTTGCATACAAATGTCTCAAAAATGTTGTTTTAATTACGTTACTTATGGTAATTTTGTGGTAAATAAATGATGTTATATTCAAACTGAGAAAATAATTATAACTAAAACTAAGGTGAATGTTAATGCATTATACTTGCAGATATTCCTTTCGTTTTCGTTTTATATACAACTAATAAACTTGAATTCAATAGAAAGCTTATTACTTATTTTGACCCAAAAATGAACAATGAGGTAGTTACATGTAGTATTAATAGTAAGCAAACAATCAACAGAACTTTAAGATAATTTATCATGTATGCTGTTCTTAACATGTAGGTTTGCAGGATGTGCATATCCATGAAACATCTAGTATGTTTGTTAACATGATTAAGACGAGATGGGATACATGTAGCTAATTATGTGATAATTGTTTCATTTTGTAATGCTTATGACGTCTCTAGATATTTCTAATGATTTATAAATCAAGCGCATGAATTGACTGATCAATTGCCATTGTATGCTTACCCTCCAGGCGAGCAATTGTGGAAAAATACTGATTTTAAATATACCTAGCCTGTTTACTCGCGAAGTGGCAATAACCATATATGGATTCTTAAGAACTCAATAGAACATTTACAGAAAATAAAAAAATCTGTGTCATTTTTTAAAATAAATCCTGTTAAAACCTTCAAATTTTCCACCCTTTACACCTCCATACCACATGAAAAATTAAAAACCTGTCTTAGAGTTATAATCCATAATGCTTTCTTCCATAAAATGGTACCATACGCTACAAGTTTATATTTTGGGATATAATTCTACATATTTTGAAAGAAATGAGCCCGAAAATAAAACATGCTACACCGAAGAACAAGTGATCAGTATTATAATATTATTATCTGTTAGATAATGAAGTAGAATTTCCCAGCAGGTTGACGCATTCCCATATGAACCAACTAAGCACCTCTCTTGGCCGACCTTTTTTTATTTTCATATGAATCAAAGTACCTTCAGAAACTTATAAAAAAGATCAAAGAAGCTAGATTATTTGATTTCACATACAGGTACATGTATATTGATGATGTACTTTCCATTAACAATCCAAACTTTTCCGAATGGGTCCCATTAATATATCCTCCTGAACTAGCGATTAAAGAAACTACAGATACAGTTCCTCCGCATCATTTCTGAACATTTACCTCGAATTTGACAACAGCGGTCATCTCAGTACCAGAATCTATGACAAACGAGACGATTTCAATTTTGAAATGATAATTTTTTTTCACCTTCGCACCAATAATTCAACTGCACCCGCGTATCAAGTATATATATATATCAACTCATATGGTATTCAAGAGCTTGCAGCTTCTTCTCAGACTTTATTGTCTTAATGTTAAATTAATGACCAAGGATTTGTAACAGAACGTCTCGACCTTTCTCCCAAAAAATTCATCGGAAAGTTCCTAGACCTAATAAAAAATATTTAGTGTCTACTTCACAAATAATACAAGATGGACTTCAGTTATAGATTCTAGGTGCTGAAGTTGTGTATCTTTTCATTTTACTTTAGTTTTCTCGTTATTTGTCTTCGTGTTATGATGTTTCTTTATTTCGTATGCCTTTTGACGTGACGCTGTTTTTATGCATCCCGCCATCAGGTTTTTGACTTTTTAAATTTGAGCATTCCTGGTGCAGGTTGGTTCTGAGATGTGATTCGGACACAAAGGGGTTTTACCCATGTATTTATATTTTGTTTACCCATGTATTTATATCTTCTTAATTTCTACTTTATCGAGAAGTGTATACTATACTACGGTATGAATAATAAACGACACAGACTTTCGTTAAATTTACGTCATTGATGAGTTTTTTGTAGACGAAACGCACTTCTAGATTACAAACTTGTAATCCTGGCATCTATGATAAGTTTATTACTATCAACTACATCTTTTTTGTTGGCGTCTTTGTTAGATTAAGTTGTATGTTTGTTTGAATTTTTTAGTTAGTTGTGTTGTATGTCTGTAATGCTTGGTTACACAGATTTGGCTGCTGGATCCCAATTATTGTTACATTAAGCTATTATGTCTATTTGGGTTGCTTATCTTTTTTGTCAATATATCGGAACTATAAACAATTACCAAACAACTGGGAGGTTTAGCTAGCTAAAAATCCATGTATGATCCACCATTTTCTTCGGGAAATGCCTGCACATAGTCAGGAATATAGCAGGTGTTTTTCTCTTATTCCGTTTGATTTAGTCAGTTTTTATTGACTTCCCCTTTTTGAATTTGCTTGGATTTCAGTAATTTTGTTATACTTTTTTCATGATACCTAATAAATATTTCTGGTCAAATTCGCAACATATCAAGTGCAGTAATTTTATTTCTTTTTCGGAATAATTGTTAGGTTTTGTGATCTACCAACATACTAACACAGATCTAGTTAGGAAATGATTTCAAGTAACAAAATTGCTATGTATGTATGTATGGAATCTTGCTCCTTATTAAACAGTTATAATACAAAGGTCATACATTATATACTGCCAATGTCCTTCGATATTTGTATCCCGTATATTCGTCCCGACGTTACATTATAAATGGAACAAGTTAGGCTATGAATGAACTCCTAAAATGAGAAGATATTTTATTTTTCTATTCCGATCTTACACTTTTACAGAAAAAAAAATACTGCTATGATCCCTTCCCTTTTGAGTCATCAAACAGCAATTGTTTTTAATACAGCATACACTTTATCGCGTCATTCTCTACTATTTTTAGAGTTGGGATCCCATATATAATTGATTGATAATATATTCTAAGAAGAAGCCGCCATCCAATTTTTACAATTGAAAAAAGTTACTAAAAGACCACGGATGTGCAAGTTGCTTTATGAGTTTATAAAGGCATTATTAGAATCAAATCGTGTTCTTACTTAATTCGATTAGCTGTCAGTCCAATTTTAAAAGAAATGCAAAGTTTGGTCGGGTCAATGTAAATGTATAAATAACAAAAATGTTAATTACTGATAGAGGTTGATAAAGTGCATTAAGCCCATTGCTTGTTATATGCATATTTGTTCTCCTACGGATACGTTCCCAACACATTTAAAAAAACATAGAAATAGGAAACACAGTAAGATGTTTGTAGGCATGTTTGTAAGCATCAAATGTCAGCTAATGATGCCTACAAATTAGGAATACAACGTAGATAATAAATTAAGAAATGTTTGCAAATAACATTTTATGAATTGAAGGTATTTGTTTTACTTAAGCATCGTTTAAATGTACGTGAATTTATTCTTCTATTTCTGTCTTTCCATTTTCACCAATAATTTGTTTTTCTTATTTTAAACTCTTGGATGATCTTTATTGTTTAATTCTTCAACGCACTTTTCTTGGACATTTTTCACATGTCCTCAAGGTGAAACATATATAAGTGCACAGATATTATTATACCACCAGTGTAGAATTGTTTGAGCCAAATAAAATCAGCATGAAATAACTATTGGGTTAATAAATGTACATCAGACTTATATGAGCGGGAACACAACTAACAGTACCAATGTTACAACATCAGATGCACATTTTGACATGTAATATATATTAACTGCCGATCGACGACAAAAAAACTCATATAAACGATGAACCGATGATAAAAGACATTTATAGGACCAAAAATGAAACCAGTCCGATAACAAACGACAGCTTTACATGAGGGACACAATACATGCTGTACATGAGGGACACAATACATGCTGTAATCCTTAATCTAAAATCATTTCCAGTATTCTGAAATAATAAATTTCACAAAAAAACAAAACAATTAAACACTAATTATATTTCAAAGCTAGTAGTTACATTCAAACTTATAAGTCAAAAACAAACTGACAAAGCCATTTAATAGTAAAAACAAAAAACGTTCAAAAGACAAACAACGGTCTACAATACACAACATAGACTGTTTGATGTATTATTTTCAATATTTAATTTTACATAATTATTATCTTCGAAAACTAAGAATTGCTTGTTCAACATCTTTTTTTGTTATATTCCTGATAACATATAAACTTATGATTTGTACTAATAAACAAAATGAATTGTGATCAGCTTTATCTTGATGTAAAAAAAAAATCCTCTAGTAAATTTGTACATTGAAGGTGTTGGTTATTCTGGTTAGGTCCCTTTTGGTCATATAACTGCTCAAGTATACATTCATCGCAAGCTTATATTCGTTTGTTTTGAGCGTTCGCATTGCAGTTTGATTCGATAAACCGCTTCAGACCCTACAAATGTATAACACACATTTCTTTTTACAGTGTGAGATATAGTATTAAACCTAATGTGTGTATTTTATATACAAGGAGATGGGCCACAAATTACAAGAAGCATTTGTTTAAAATGTATGCACCATGTATTTCTACTTTCAGAACAACAAGAAAAAGATCTCCTTGTTTTTAAGAAACAGATACATCGAACTTTTAAAAATCCAGACACTATGCTATCATTTGAAGAGGCTGACTCGGAATGTCCGGATAAAGTTGTACAAAATAAAGGTAAACATGCGATTTCTATAATATACTGACCTTCTTTAACATATCCCTATATATTGTGTACCACCAATACCAATTTTCACATTCTTACAAGCATACGAATTATATTTACCGATATGGTTAAAGGGGATATGTAATAATAACTGTGATCATATACTAAGCATTATTATGATAGTTTTTGCCTACGTGTAATGGGCGGACAACAATAAAAAAGTATCCTTGTTTTTAAGAAACAGATACACAGAACTTTTAAGAATCCAGACACCATGGTTTTATTGGTAGAGGCTGACTCAGAATGCACGGATAAAAGTGTTTCAGATATTTGTTAACATGGTCTTTCTGTAACATACTGACCTTATTTAACATGTTCGAGCAATCCCTTTTATATATTGTGTACCACAAATACCGATTTTTAAATTCTTACACGCAAACACATTATATTCACCGATATGGAAAAAGTGTACATGTAATAATAACTTTTATCATATACTTAGAATATGATGATAGTTTTTGCTCACGTGTAATGAGATAAAGTAACTAGTTCTAAATTTATACCCAGACTGATAACCTACATGGTGTTATCAGCCTGCAGGGTGCGTTCGTAGATCGGTAGTATATGATAAAAAAATTAAAACATAATCCGAGCAAACGTTTCGGGATAATACCCTTGCCGATAGTGAAAAGGCCATGTATTAATCTGTGTGTTAACAATAATGAAAAGCAAAACTCATAGCATTTTTTACCTAGTGTGTTTAAAATCCAACTGATGATAAAATAAAATATGCCGAAAAAGTATTACACAGAGCTATTGTGTGAAGACTGCAGGAATTGGGTGAGATCTGTTTAATTCATTGACTACGTTAGAGTTTGACATTATGCATACACACGTGTTAACATATGGAGACTGTAATAAACCTTCTCTCCAGATTATATATGTTTCTTTTTGCATTAGACGTACAACACCTCTTCTTAAAAACATATAATAACATTTTATGAGGTATGCCGTAGACAAGCTTTAGATGAAAGATTTACAGAAACCTATTTCAATTTTTGTTTCAAATGGAGCAAATATTAAGCGTAACTGTAATGAATTGTAATTCAAACTCTTTTGTCAACAAAAATAAGAAGTACAGTATTTGCAACCTGAGGCGTTACTGTTTGACGTGAATTTGGCTAAAAAGAGTATGATCGGTGACGGATTTTGGATGGATTGTTGATGTCATGTGGAATGATCAGACATGTAGCTTGTTTGAAAGAATTATAATCATCAAGAATGACAAAATCGATAACGATTGAATATCTGCTGTCGAATCAATCACCGCTTCAAAATGATAAAGGAGACTTGATTGCTACGATTGAGTATTAGCTGACTTTTCAATCAACTCATTTTAATAAAATGGAGACATACATGATAACAATTTGGAATCATCTGTCGATTAAATCAACTCTTCAAAACAATATGGAAGGCGCGATCATAACAATCGATAAGATTGATCATGATTTAACATCGGCTGTCAATTCAATCAATTCTTCAAAATAACATGGAAGGCCCAATGCGATCGATAATATCGATCACGATTTAACATCGGATGTCGATTTAATCAACTCTTCACCAATATGGAAGGCACGATCGTAAAGAGCGATCACGATGGAACATCGGATGTCGATTCAATCAGCATATCACTAATATAGAAGGGATTATGATTTCAATCGACACAATCGAAAAGCTGTCGATGCAATTAACTCTTCAAAATAATATGAAAGGTTATTTAATTCGTCTAACTCTTCAAATCAGTAAGAAACCAAAAAAAGGCTCAACTACATTATTATTTCATTGTATTTCATTTCAAACAAGAAAGTAATAGAACCGAGTCAATTGATCAACTGATGAACGATCGTATCGATTCAATACGACTGAAAGGATCGTAGCCCTAGTTTATTAAAGTAATAAAATTGATTAACCGTGGCACAATCGTATTGAATACGATTGATATGATCGTGTCTTTATTAAGCTAAAGTAAAAGAATCAGTTTAGTTGATCAACTGTGACACGATCGTATTGATTGAATACGCATCATACGATTGTGTCCCTACTAAATTGAAATAATAGAATCGATTGAGTTGATCTGTGGCATGATCGTTACTGTTGATAACGGATAATACGATCGTACTCTTATTAATAGAGGGACGAAAGATACCAGAGGGACAGTCAAACTCATAGATCGAAAACAAACTTACAACGCCATGGCCAAAACTAAAAAGACAAACAGACAAATAATAGTACAGATGACACAACATAGAAAACCAAAGACTAAGCAACGCGAACCCCACCAAAAACTGGGGGTGATCTAAGGTGCTCCGGAAGGGTAAGCAGATCCTGCTCCACACGTGGCACCCGTCGTGTTGCTTATGTTATTACAAATCCGATTAATAGTCTAATTCAGTAAGTCATATGAAATTGAATTATTAGAATTGATTGCGTAGATCAACTGTGGCACGATCGAATCGATTGAATACGATTGATACGATCGATCGTGTTCCTAGTAAGTTGAAGAAATATAATTCATTGAGTCAACACTATGTAACTATTTGTAAAGAATTGAGTGAGATGATAAGTAGAGTTCTATACAAATGGTAGCAAATACCACACAACAATCGATTGGTCCTACAACGTGACTCGATTGACTAGGATAGACAATAGAATAGAATCAATAGATAGTATTTTCCAAAAATGACTTTTCTATCTATTGTAATACTGTACGTGTGTTGTTATTAGCGGTCAGTCATTTAAATACCTTTTGATAAGTGATTTGTCATAAAATGTGAATTATATAAGGGTAAAAATACTTAAACGTTTGCTTGTGTTGAACAAAGGTGCCATATTTATTAGTTTTCATCGAAATCATAAACTGTCATCGGATGTATGTTCTTTTTGTACGTTAGAACGAGGTTTTTTTATTAGTAGCTGGTAATTTCAAATGTAAGCAAGTTAATTTTTGAACGAAGAGAAATATTTTAATTCAAGCAATATCTGATGTATTAATACATAAGAAGCACAGGTTGAATATATAGGAACCTCTGTATTTTAAGCCACATCACTTGACTATAGAAAAAATCAAATTAAATGAGTTAAATTCCAATACTAGTAGTTTACATATTTAAACAATCAAGTGTTGTTACCTGCTCCGCTTCGCCGTAATACAATATACAATTGATACAAATAAGAGTTATAATCTGAATTGGACACTAATGATTACTGATTGACACAAAAAAAATTCATAAAAATGATGATCCTTGCTTACCAATCAAAATGATCACCAGTACAGTGAGTTAAACATATACAATGCATAAATGATATGTGAGCGACAATGACTTCGAAGCTTATGGTACTTGTTTAATACAATGAATATGCTATTTAAGTGTTCACGTATAATCAGTTTACAGTTAAAACTTAAATTGCAACATATCTTTACTATTTTTTCTAGAAAAAGGAGTGGGAGTTACGACAAGTCAGTCACTAGACGATCGAACACAAACCTCATCGGATATAATGCCTGACTTCAATATGGAATGTAAAGGTAAAATAAGCTAACATTAATTGTTATTAATAAGCCTGCAAACAACTGTTGTACTCCATGCAGTAAATTCATAATGATTTCGATGTGAACAGGTTAATAACAACTGCTGAACAGTCTGAATATTGACTGAACATATTTTTATTGACTGTAAGCGAATTGTTTGAACAGTACTGGATGGGATTAGTATAACAATTGACTGAAAGACTAAAAAAGCCTTTATAAGCCTATTGTTAAGTCTTTTAAGAGTTGTTCAGATTGAAATGACCGTTGTAGATCAAAATTATAAAAATCAGAAAATGTGGTATGATTGCCAATGGGACATCATTCCACAAGAGACCAAATGACACAAAAATTAACAACTTTAGATCACCGTACGGCCTTCATCAATCAGTTAAACCCATACCGCATAGTCAGATATAAAGGCCTCGAAATGACAAATGTAAAACAATTTAAACGAGAAAAACTAACGGCCTGATTTATGTACAAAAAAATGAACGAAAAACAAATATGATATACAGCAACAAACGACAACCACTGAATTACAGGCTCCTGACTTTGGACAGACACATACAGAATCTGGCGGGATTAAACTTGTTTGAAGGCGCGCCAACCCTCCCCTAACCTGGGACAGTGGTATAACAGTACAGCATGAGAACCAAACTATAAAATAATCAGTTGAAAAAGGCTTAACTCATCAGATCGATACAAAGCTGAAATACATCTAACAAAAACACAGAGTGGACGTGGCAGGGTAATTTGTTTATTAGTGGTTCTTATTTTGCTGCTGATTTTGAAAATGACACTCTAGGCCTTTAATCGTCGGATTCCTTCTAACATAAGATGGCCTTAAATTGCACCATGACATACACCTTTATCTGATCTTATGAACAATCTTGAATAATCTTGAATTTGGAAAATGAAGGTAAACTTTGTAAATTTCAATAAGTTTGAATTACTCCGTCAGCTTCTATCGTATACAGTCCCAACGAAATTTTCACTTCAGTTTCAGTGCCAATATAATTCATCACACAAAATTATTTGTAGATCTAAAATAAAAAAAAAAAAACCTTTTAAATCCCTTAGGCAAATTGCACTCATAAACTCGTGTTCATTTTATATTGTTGCGCATATGGGTTTCAGCTCTCATTACAGTTCGGATAGAGCCCAAAGGCCATGTGATATACTGGTGAAGTCTGATGTCTAATTGATAACTGATAAGGAGCCATTGCTATTCCTGGATCATTTAGATTGATTAGTTTTGCCAGTGATAATCTACTTTGCGGCTGGCAGTTATTCTCTAATTTGTAACTGATTATTATATTTACTAGTTACATACAAATTGACGTTACATAAACACTGAGTTTGAATGCTAAATGAAAATGGTGTAACGCTAGATATTGTTTCATATTTTACAGAATAGAAACTTAAAATGAAGGCATCAATAATGGGAAATAGCTGGTAAAAGAACGATATGAAATTCCAAAATATCAGTACAATGAATGTACTTAGTATTATGCCTACTAAAGTACAATTCCTTCACACAATATTCGTTTATAATTTCATTTTCTAGCAAAAACACATTTGGGAACCAGCTCCGCAATTGTAAACTAAATCTTTATAATAAAGGTTGATAAATAAGACATGAATAACACGGTATTCTTCGTTTCTGACGATGGTTTATAACATAGACATTTTTATTCATCAGTTTCCAACAAAAAATGTAATTGCTTCCTCTGTTTAACTTTATTTTAGGAAGTTTTGTGGGGGTAACAACAGACCAACCACCAGTAGATCCAATGACAGAGCTATCAGAATTAATTCAGTACTTGAATAAAGAGACTGAAGGTAAAATAGACATTGTAAATGATTATTGATTCTTCTGCCAAGTTCTGTTATGTAAGTTAAAGTGCCAGGAACAATTATTGCATGCCAAATTGATACTTAACAGAATTAGATATTTTAGATTAATACACACTCCGTTTTAAAGCCATTGCCAAATTGCACAAGGTTACTAAGGCTCATCCTGAGGACCTTATATTTTTTCCTGTTTAATTAAACTAGTTAGGCAAACCACGCGTTTAAAAAGGAGTTGATACCGAAATTTTCAGGGCAAATTAAACGAGAGGTGATTCCCCTACTATACCATACAGAATGTTATCAATGTGTGTATAATTTAACAAAAGCATATGCATTATTGGCTAAGTTTTCTTATACTTTAATTAAGAAATGACGAAATTATATTGAAAAAATAATTAACGCGTTAAAAAAACATTCTAATATGAATTTCATAGATAACAAAACTAAAAATGAGGCTCGTGGCGACAATAAAATGTCCTACTTGTTGATGGTAATACCAAATGTAGATGGAGAACCTCTGTCTTAAGAAATATTAAAGTTGTCACATAGTAATCACATGCCATCGCTTGGCAACGTTTCTTATTCATGATATTGTTTTTAATTGTTTTTAATTTTCACTGATCTATTTCGTTTCTACTCGCAATAAAGTATTTATTTTGAAGGGTTTTGCGGTTATACCAGGACAGTAAATGAACAGGATTAGTATTTTTCGAGCAAATCTTCTATTAACATTTGATAGTTAAGATTTTAATTTCATTTATTTCTATTCAAATAGAAAAGTTTTTGCGGATTTTTTTTTTACAGTCATCCTTTGTTTTGATTATCCAACCATAGTGTAGTATGCATGATATGTGAACCTATACTAAGTTTAAGATGGTTTATATGCTAAACGGACTCCTGTTAATGCGAGCAATAAATCTAATAGCGGTAACGTAAGCTTTTGTTATGTGCTAAACGAAATCAGTCCGTATTGAATAACCATAATTTGAATTACACCATACTCGAGTATTAAGAAAGAAATGTATCATACGATTAACTGGTTAATTTTAAGAGAATCCTTTCGACAAAAGAGCTACAATAGCACCGAATCCCTTTCTTTAACGAGCTTAATTGTTGTGTATATTTGTTTTAGCTTAACTCTGTAAGTATTACCTTCTAATGATTTTTGTAGAAAAAGTTGAGGCAGCAGGGACAAATGACAGTGGAGCTTCAATTATCAAGCTGGGTAACTATTTACCGAAAAAAAACTGTTGTACTCGAATGAAATAAAACATCTCTCACACTAGGGATCATACTAATACTGTAATAAATGAAAGTAAGATGTAACTTAGAATTCAATATATTTTTTATTTACGTCATCTTATTTGTAGTGAACAAAATCGGAAATTTTACAAACATTATTTCAATCCTGGATTTTATTTGTTTATGCCCAAATTGGAAAAGACAATTTATGGTATACATAAACCAATCGTTCGTTCGTTCGTTTACGTGTTGGAAACTATGCCATTTACTACAGATGGGTACAGTTCTAACCTGTACAAAAGTTAACTTGGAGCCGACTTGTTGACTGCTTCCCAAGTAAAGTAAGAAATTGTAAGCAAATAAGCAAGTTAACTTTATCGGTGGTAGACAACACCTAGGTCGGTTTTTTTAGGACTGCTGCAGACTTATTGACAAGTCTGCTCCAGACCAGACCTGTGGACAAGTCTGCTATTGGCCAGTTCTCAGGATAGGTCTGCCCCAAACCTGAGCTGTAGCCAGGGCTGCTTCAGACCAGTCATAAGATTGCCGTGTTTAAGACTTTTCATGTCAGACCTGAACTTTTATTATGTAAACAATAATAATACTGTTATTTTACCCAGTACAGCACATTACTCTTTAGTGACTCTAAGAGATATTATACACATTTAACAAGTAGCAACCAACAACAAATCAATCGACCGCCATTATATATACTAACAGTCAGTCAGTTTACTATTCCCAGATGATACATTCTCATACTTTTAATGATAAAGTACAAATATAGTCAGTGTTGGATGATGCAGTCAAATAATTTTGTTATACGAGCCAGCCTAGGATATGAAAACTACTGATTTTTTGTGACGAGTCAATATTTTGAATAAAAAGAGGACATGCTGGCACTCTAAATTGATGCGAACAAAATTTTGTAGTCATTGTGTTCCAATACTGCTGTAATTTGTATTATACAATCTATCCACATTTAACATATTTATTGCTTTATGATATGGCTATTTGATTTTCATAATAAAATGCAAATATGGTCAGTTTTGGTTGAAGCGGTCAAATATTTTTGTTATACGAACCAGTCTGAGATACGAACTACTGATTTTTTGGGACGAGTCAATATTTTGAATGAAACATGACATGCTGGCAGTATAAATTGATGCAGATAAAATTTTGTAGTCATTGCGTTCCAATATTGCAGGCATTTGTATCATTCTGTGTCATCAAATTAACTGATTTATGACACGGCTATCTAATTTTCATAATAAGGTTCAAATATGGTCTGTTTTAATTGATGCAGTCTAAAATTTTTGTTATACGAACCAGTCTGAGATATCATAACTATTGATTTTTGGTGACGATTGGATATTTTGAAGAAATAAGGACATGATGGAACTCTTATCTAAATTGATGCGGACAAAATTGTGTAGTCATTGTGTTCCATTATTGCTGTCATTTGTATTATTCAATCCATCTTGAGTTAGAAAAATTTACTGATTTATTATGCGGCTATATAAATTTTCATAATAAATTGCAAATATAGTTAGTTTTTGTTGATGCAGACTATTATGTATGTATACAAGGCAGCCTGCGATATGAAAACTACTGATTTTTTTGGTGACGAGTGAATATATTGAATAAAGATGAGAAAATGATGCAGAAAAAAACCAGTAGAAATGTGGGTTCTCTGAATTAAAGCCGACCATAAATATTAGTAACTATACAACAATATTGCTTTTAGTTAGCATGATTATTTTATACAATATATGTACTTTGCCATATCGCCATTGCCAAGTTTTGAAGTTTACTGCTACTTAAACATTTTATATAAAATGTAAACGACTTGGGGAATTTGATATTTATTGAAATATATATTCAATACACGCTACCTGTGTAACTAATGTCGTTTTCGATTTGTTAAAAGGCAGATCACGGAGATATTTGTATAACCATATATATAAATAAATGGAGAATGTGTCCATGGGACACAAATGATGCCCCCGCCTGTATATATTATTATAAAGGGGCATAATCCGAGAAGTGTAAAAGTGACGCCACCCGAATTTGAATTTGATATGTGTTTTGTGGTAATAAGCATTGTGTATAAGTTCCATAACATATGCTTGAGGCAAACTTAAGATAGAGAACGGAAACGTACGGACGTACGGACGTCCGGACGTCCGGACAGACGGACGGACGGATGGACAAGGATAACACTCAATACCCCCTCCGGTGACGACAGGGTCATACAAATGGCTAGTATATTTTCTCGTTTTTTATATAGATTAGACCGTTGGTTTTCCCGTTTGAATGGTTTAACACTAGTAATTTTTTTTCGGGGCCCTTTATAGCTTACTGTTCGGTGTGAGCCAAGGCTCCGTGTTGAAGACCGTACTGTGACCTATAATTGTTTACTTTTATAAATTTTGACTTCGATGGAGAGTTGTCTCATTGGCACTCATACCACATCTTCTTATATCTATATATGGTATAACAAACAAAGTTTTATGCATACTTTTTTTCAAATGAATTTAATCTGTATTGTTTATATCAAGATACAAAGACATTTAAAAGATGGATGTAGAGCGGTCCTGGTCATAAGTTAACTTAATGTTGAGCAGACCAGCCGAAAGGAAACTTTAGATCATGTCTGGTTCAATCGGAGTTGTCAAAATTAAAGTAAACTTTTTGCAGAACTGGTTTCGAAGGAAACTTTAGTAGCGAACCTGTATATTGTTAACTTTTACGGCAGTCATAAAAACAGTCCAAGGACTAAATCCGCTATTCAAGTTAACGTGATTGTTGTCCTAGGACCGGTCGAAGCAGCACTTAATCCTATCGCAGGTTAACTTTGACCAGTCAAAATGACTGGTTAGCAAGTTAACCCTTTCCTCCATGGAAATTTTTCTTTTACATACTTGATTTGCATAGGATTTTTCAATAAAATGTTGAAAATATGCTTACTTTAATGAAATATTAACTGTACCTCTAATAGACCAGTTAGACATTTGAAATTTTTTGTCAGTTATACATCTAAGTCAGATCTTCAAAATTTACTAAAAAAAAATTTTTAATATTGTTGCCATTGTAAGAGATTTATCCAAATATAATGAAAATGGTTAAATTTTGGGTTTTATCTTGTAATATCAATTTGTTTCTAAGAAAACAATGAGAGAATTGAATGTACATAAATAATCTGAATGGAAACTTTATTTTCTTTGAAAATTGTCCTTTTTTTTTCCTCATAGCAACAGAAGTATTTCCGTAGCAACCAAAGAAAATTGTGTTTAAATTTTGAATTTAAAAAAAAAATTGGCGAAAATATTTAAAAATAAGGTTTTTACAGGTTAATCAAGATGACTCATATATTGGAATATATTATGGAAAATTATATTGTACATTATTTTTCCCTAGCAACAGTTTCTGTTCATAGCAACCAACTGAAATCCTGTATAATAAGTAAAAAATGAACAGTTGACAGTTAGATAATTTGGATGATAACAAATGGAAACTTTTTATCACAACATTGCTCTTGAAAAAGATTTAACATATGTGTGCTCCTAGCATCCCAATAAGGCACAAGAATCAGACTAAAAAGTAGGTGCTTAGGCCAACAAATTAGAAAATGCATTATTAGTTATCAGATATCTTGTTTCTAAAAGAAAATCTATGATGTTTGTGAAGTTGTTTAACAAAGACCTTTTTGTATACTAGTAGTGATAAATATCACAGTTTGAAAAGGCAATATGAAAATAATATGAAAATAATAGCATGTGGTATAGTTTTTTTTTATTACATTTTTGTACATCATTTTGGATCTGGTTTTATTTGTGTTCAATGGAACACTGTTATTGTTAATATGCTGATTATGCATATGCCTGTTTTTCTTTGTAAAGTCCCCTCGAAAATGTAACATCAATCCTTAAATCTAGAAGGGTATTAAACTTTTTCCTATGTTGATATCCTGCTGTGCCATTCATCACAATTTGATTTTATAACAAATAAAAACATTATTTCAATTTAGGTTTTTTCCTATAAAGGCAAATCCCTTCCCCTCCAGAAATAACAATACATTAACTTGAAAGAATTCAGCTAACCCCTTCCCCAGGGTTAGGTACTTTCTTTGCATCATTCCTTCTTCTAGATACACAGAAGATTTGAAAGAAAAAAGATGAAGGAAAGGTTCCATTCATTTGTAAAACATGAATCATACATATATGCTTTTTTCCTCGATCTTGATATCTATATCATTAACGGAAAGCTTAATACTAAAATATATGATAAAAGAGATGATTTTTCATTTCCTATCGTTAATTATCCATTTTTAGATGGTGACGTTCCCTTGTCACCATCTTACGGTGTTTATATATCTCAACTTGTACGATTCGCTCGTGTATGTAACAATGTTTTAGATTTTAACGAGAGAAATTTATGTATTACTGAAAAATTATTACACCAGGGTTTTCGATATCACAAACTAGTCAAAACATTTACTAAATTTTATCATCGGTATAAGGACATCATTCGTAAATATAGCTCAACATGCAGACTTCTTATACGTTCAGGTATTTCACATCCAATTTTTTATCGAAATATTCTTTATAAAGCACAAAAATGTCAGTATTCACCTCTGAAGCTAACAAAACCTTTAAATAGACTAATTAAGAATGGATATAGTTACGATACTGTTGTCAGGTCATTAAAGATTGCATATTTTGGCGTTAATATTGATTCACTTATAGGGTCTTTGCATCGGCACTAAACACATTTATTTAAAAACCAGTTGTTGGCATGACACGGGTTATGTTCTTCTCATATATGTTATGATGGTATGATACTAAACCCCTAACGGGAAGGATTGTGCCTGATATTCATATGATGAAGACATAATCTTTCAATCAGTTTAATTGAAGTCTGGAGCTGGCATGTCAGTTAACTGCTAGTAGTCTGTTGTTATTTATGTATTATTGTCATTTTGTT